GAAGAAAATTAGTGCACTAATACTACTTGACCTCTCAAAGGCTTTCGACGGTATTAGCCATCAGCCGGTTGCTCCAAAAACTCTCTACCATGGAAGTGTCAGCCACTACGATCACGTGGTTCCAGAGCTATTTGTCTGGCCGTACCCAATCAGAGTGCATCGGCTCCATCCGGTCGGATCCACTACTGATCACGCACGGAGTTCCTCAGGGCGTGATACTTCCTCCTTTCCGTTTTTTGCATTTACTTGAACGATCTACCATACGCGCGTCAATTTTGCCATCTTGAGTCTTATGTCGATGACTCTAAAGTCTTGTTATCTTTCAATGCAACTGACTCTAACGATGCCAAGTTTAAGCTCGAGGAGGACTTACAAAGAGTCGCTATTTGGTGTTGCGAAAACCAGTTGCTAATAAACCCCGATGAAACGAAATTTATGCTGATTGGCACAAGGCAGCTGATAAATAGACATTCCAATGATTTCTCAGTGTCATTCGTTGGGAAGTCCCTAACCCCTGTTGACTCAGCAAGAGACTTGGGTGGGATCATTGACTCACACCTGACCTATGATAGTCACATTTCTTACTTAGTCTCTTCTTGTTTATCAAAACTAGTCCAGATCAACAGAGTTAAAAACAGTTTCGACAAGGAAACACTAATGCTTGTTATTTCATCACTGGTATTCAGCAAAGTTTTCTATTGCTCAACAGTGTGGTCAGAAATACATCCTCCACTAATATAAAGAAACTACAACTGATCCAAAACTTTGCTTGTAAGATCATCACCGGTTCCAGGAAGCACGATCATGTTACTCCCCTACTGCACCAACTTAACTGGTTGTCAGTGAGCCAGACACTGCAACTTAGAGATACAGTTATGGCCCATAAGTGTGCCAATAATTTAGCACCCGACTACGTATGTAAAAAGTTACAAAAACGCACCACCATACATGATCGAGCCANGACTGACGTCATCGAGGTCGTAAATGCAGCAGAATTTTCCCGGATGATAGCGGAAGTTCCCCTTTAACAGGAAGTAAATTGGCCAGACGAAGCACCTAGCCAGGCGAGTGACAAAGAAGTTAACACTGGTTTCACTTTGAAAGACGCTTTGTATAGGTTAGGGCGTACAACTTTGAAATAAGGATTTACAGAAGTTAAGGTAAATAAAAAGTGACGCCGATCCAAGAGTTGTAGCAGTGTAACCGTGATACAAACATACCGCTCCGCTGAAAGACCAGTGTCCCGCTATCAAAACGCTCAAGGACAGCGGCATACCAAGGAATGACATGAACTCATGGGTCAATACCAATGCCATGATGTAGTAGTTTGGCGTGGTGCGCAGGCGTGGATTTCTCTGGACTGAACATAAAACTAAAGCGTTGCCTAGAAACGCAATCAACATCACTATCGCCATAGGAAAGCTCTCCAGAATAGTTTGTAAAGACCATCTCTGCGAAAAGTAACGCGCCATTCGGAGCGACGTTGTAGAAAGATTGCCTGGATTACGCATTGTAAAGTTCCCTTGGTTGTCTCGTGGAAAAAACGTGACCTGTGCACGTACCGGTTCAGTAAAAAAAAAGAAATGATTCACAGCTAAGTGTAAAAAAATAGAAAGTTATAATAAAAATGAAAATGAACCTTGAGAATAGAACTATGACCCGGACCTATCGACCGGTGCTCGATGGTTCTGATGTAAACATCAAGCTTAACACTTTCAACAATGTTTTCAGTCAAGTACTTGACGTATACGCCCCAGTGAAAACCATCAAGATCTATAACCGCCCTTTCCCATTTGTTACTAATGATATTAAAGAGCTCATGAAGGCTAGAGATAGCCATCATCGTCGTTTTCTTCAGACGCGCGACGCTTCTAACTGGGCAAGGTACAAGATCTCCCGTAATAACATCAAACGAGTCCGTATTGATGCGTAAAGGACATACACTTATCGAGAGGTTCAAATCAATAAGAGTAACCCAAGCTCACTGTGGAAAGTAATTAACAACATCGTTCCGTCGAAAGACCGAGAGAGACATATCTACTCGAAAGACCTTTAGTCAGTTGTAAATGATTTCAACTTATACTTTTCATCATTCATCAGTCGGAAGTCGTGCTGCTAACACCGCTGCTCAGCTGGCTAATGACAATAATATCACCTTTGCACACGCTTCTCTTCTACCCCCTGTTCTACCTACTGATGAATACTTCAACTTCAGCCCCGTGAGCTGTGAGGATGTGAGACGCGTCATCTCATCACTTCCATTGAATAAGGCCCCACAGGGGCGTAGCCAGGAATTTTTAAAGGGGGGAGTCACAGACGCTACTAACCAGATTGTCATGTCGACCTCCACGCCGTGCATGTTTTACTTAATGTTACAGTTTTGGGATGAACAGTGAGAGTATACTGGGCAGGCCAAGATATTGTCATGGCGTTTTCATCACCTGAATATTGTAGGTTGTTTTCTCAAAAGAAGGCCTACCAGACGCGCGACGTCAAAAGAAGGCCTACCAAGGGGGGGTCACGGGCACCCCAGGACCCCCCTGGCTACGCCCTTGCCCCAGGGCCAGACAAATTAAGGCCAAAGTGATCAGAGATTGCCTACAAGTAGTACTGGCTCCCCTGACAGAGATCATCAACTGCTCTCTCCGCAAGTCCACATCCCTCTCAGACTGGAAGATAGCTGAAGTCATACCCCTCCTCAAAGAGGGAGACCATGAAGAACCATCAAACAACCGACCGCTATCATTACTCAGTTTCGCTTCAAAGTTGTGTGAAAAAATTGCTCTGGAACAATTTAGCACTTATCTTATCTCTCACAACCGCCTCTCTTCCCACCAATCCGTTAACAAGTCACTCGTTTCAACTGAGATTTCGAATATCTACATCACCGACCTCCTTCTTGAGGCCATGGACAAGAAAAAAATTAGTTTGCTAATACTACTTGACCTCTCAAAGGCTTTTGACAGTATAAGCCATTAGCGGTTGCTCCAAAAACTCTCTACCATGGGAGTGTCACCCACTACGATCACGTGGTTCCAGAGCTATTTGTCTGGCCGTACCCAATCAGAGCGCATCGGCTCCATCCGCTCGGATCCGCTACTGATCACGCACGGAGTTCCTCTGGGCGCGCAATACTTTCTCCACTCCTTTTCTGCTTTTACCAGAACGATCCACCATACGCGTGTCAATTTTGCCATCTTGAGTCCTATGTCGATGACTCTAAAGTCTTGTAATCTTTCAATACAGCTGACTCTAACAATGCCAAGATTAAGCTCGAGGAGGACTTACAAAGAGTCGCTATTTGGTGTTGCGAAAACCAGTTGGTAATAAACCCCGATAAAACGAAATTTATGCTGATTGGCACAAGGCAGCTGATAAATAGACATTCCAGTGATTTCTCGGTGTCATCCCTGGGGAAGTCCCTTACCCCTGTTGACTCAGCAAGAGACTTGGGTGTGATGGTGATGATTGACTCACACCTGACCCATGATAGTCACATTTCTTATTTAGTCTCTTTTCTTGTTTATCAAAACTAGTCCAGATCAACAGAGTTTAAAACAGTTTCGACAAGGAAACACTAATGCTTGTTATTTCATCATTGGTATTCAGCAATGTGTTCTATTGCTCAACAGTGCCGTCAAATACATCCTCCACTAATATAAAGAAACTGCAACTGATCCAAAACTTTGCTTGTAAGATCATCACCGGTTCCAGGAAGTACTGCACCAACTTAACTGGTTGTTAGTGAGCCAGACACTACAACTTAGAGATACAGTTCTGGCCTATCAGTGTGCCAATAATTTAGCACCCGACTACTTATGAAACAAGTTACAAAAACACACCACCATACATGATCGAGCCATGCGGTATAGCAACAAACTATGGTGGCAGGGATGGCGCAGTGGTAAGAGCACTCGCCTCCCACCACTGTGGCTCG